TGGGTCTGTCTGTCTGTCTGGCTGTCCGTGGGTCTGTCCGTGGGTCTGTCCGTGGGTCTGTCTGTCTGTCTGTCCGTGGCTCTGTCTGTACCTTCAGTAGTTTGGTGGCCAGTTTTAACACGTTGTTGACCAGAGTCAGCTCCTCTTTCTTGTTTGGTTTCTTCTCCATCTTCAGGTACAGATTAATCTGAGGGACAAGGATTGATCAGAGCGAGTGTCTCTAAGGAAGATCCACTGATCAGTGAGCTCTCAGAGTGTGTGTGTGTGTGTGTGTGTGCACCTGTTCAGTCAGCAGGATGGAGGTGTTGCTGTACTTCTTGCTGGTCTCAGAGCCCAGGGTAACAAACCGGAGCAGGAACAGAGACAGACTGGAGCACCAGATCACCAGCTCCCAGTTATAGTGACACTCCAGGAAGGTTTCATGGACGTGGAGCAGCTGAGGAGAGAGGAGACAGTATATATGTATGTATATATATATATATACGTATGTGTATGTGTGTGTGTGTGTGTGTGTGTGTGTATATATATATATATATATAAATATATGATTTGATTTTGACTCTTTTGTTTCTAGGACTCTGCCTCTGTGTAATTGGTCCAGTTTACCTGAGTGACACCAGTATGACGTAGAGGTAAGTGACAGAAAATCAGTGATAAAATTAATTAACAATTTTTCCATCTGAATAAAACACTTAAATGTTTGGGCCTAGATTTGCTGTGATACCTGAGCACAGCAGATGAACACGACAGACAGAGTGAGCAGGAAGGCCGACGACACGATCACGTCCACCGAGCGCTGAGGTCCTCGTCTCTGCACAGAAGATCAGAACCAGAGTCACAATAAGGTACAGTATATATTTGTTTATGATCTATTGTTTGCTCCTGCAAGAACGCAAACAGTATAAAACAGTGTTTTTCAACTTTGGTTTCAAGGTTGGGAACTGCTGGTATATACCATTGGTTCTCAAAGAAGGGGACAGGCCCCTTACAGGGCACGGGGGACGCAGCCAGTCAAATTAATTTCTATTTCAATCAATAAAGTATTTAAAATAAAATTAATTATTTGACTAAAAACAACTAAACTAAATATCTACAACCTGAATGTGAGTAAAACCACGTGGTACCTTGAGGTAGGAGCGCAGCGACAGCCACATCTTGATGTTCTGCACTTTCTTCAGTCTAAAATGAGGAACTTCAGACTTCCTGGCCCTGCGGGCTGAAGTCAGGTGACCAAAGAGTTTGGCAAACAGTAGCCTCTGAAAATGACATTATAAAAAAAACAATAAATTATAACATGTTCCTAATCTTCTCACTGTTCGGTGTGAAGTTCTGTTCTGTTCTGTTCTCACCTGTTTGTAGGTTCTCTCTGCGACACTGAGCAGGAAGAAGAAGAGCCAGATGAGGCAGATGCGCACCACGAAGCTCAGCGTCACCATGGTGATGACCGTGGCATCTGACCCAGACCCGCCCCCCAGAGCCACAGACAGGAGCTCATTGGCTGAGAGGTTGGTCAGCTGGTCTACGTCTCTGTACTGAGCCAGTCTACGGGACAGAGACACAGAGAGTCAGACGTCTGAACAGACGTTAAAAAAAAAACAAAACATCTCAGCAGGTCAGAGTCAGGTTTGTTAACGTTACCTGTAGGCGAAAGGTGTGAGTCCAAGTGTCACTGAGACCAGGTTCCCAAAGACCTGATAACCAATCCCAGGAGTGTAGAGATTGACCTGAGGACAGAGGGGAGGTGAGGGAGGAGGGGGGAGACATCAGGTGGGTTTAACAAATGTAACAAACTGAAGTGTTTCATTTTTTCACAGGAGAAAAAAAAAATCCTCCTCACTCTGTTCATGATCATTCCACTGATCTCCAGGACGGACATGTCGGCCTTCTTACAGTCGTTTCCCTCCCACACGATGGCGCTGACTCTCTCCAGGCCGGGGTTGGAGCTGTGCAGCCAGGGAAGGTGTCCCTGCAGGGAGACAAAGGACACATAGTACTTCAAGGATTCTAAAGAGGACAAATACTCTGAACTGTTTACGTGGTGCACAGGCATAAACAAAAGTCAAGCCTGTCCCCTGATCTGCAGACAGGGGGAGCTCTAATGTGTTTGACATTTAACTATAAAGAGCTGCATATTTGTGTGTCTCACTCATACCTGATGAAAGGGGTCGTCTCTATATTCCTTCTTTCCAGGTGGGCACACGGCCCCTCCCTCCCCCTCTGTAAGAACAGTACCAGCAACAGAACCGATTATTGATAAAAATTTCAATATTAAAATATTTTCTTTACACTTGTTTCACATGGTTTCTTTTTTTTTTAAATTAAAACACAAACTAAAAAAATAAAAAACAAATCCGGTCCTCTGACCTGTCTCTGAGGTGCAGGACGATCTACACTCAGCGCAGTGCAGGAAGTCTTCCCACATCAGGTCCTCTGTCTCTGACTCGTGTCGAGTGCTCTCCGAGTCCTGAGTCCTCAGACTGGAGCATCTGGAGCTGCAGCTGGTGCCAGACTTTGGGACGTCCTGATAAAAGACGAAGAGATGAGACGGGGACAGGGAGTTGACAGTCAAGTGCATCAAAACATCTGCTTCATTTACCTCCACCGTGTAGTGTTTCTTATAATGGTGCGAGTTCTTGCGATTTCGCAATGTGCAGTTACTGTTCATTCTCTCACTACCCCTGCGGAGGGCGATGTAAGACGCTTCGGGGTCCTCCTCACTGGACGCTTCGTCAGAGGCCGGCTCCTTTAGCAGAAAAACACAAAAAATCAAAAAAATCTTTACGTAAATCTACACCAAAAAATACTGATAACAATAACATTAGGAAAAAAAAATTTCTACATCACAACAAAGTAAAACGCTAAAGGTTAGGAACAGTGAGAGAATGTTGTAGGCACACCTATAAGAGGCTGCTGGTCAATGATGATTACCTTCCAAAATGTTGTTACATAAAGGCACTAAATAGAGCGCAGTGACAGATATTACAGGTAGAGGACAGCACTGCACATAAATTTGACCTTATGTAATGGGGACAAAAAAAGTTTCCTCAAACAACAGCAAATGCCTTACATTATATAATCACAAATTTCAAATCACTTTTTTAATCTAAATTCAGATTAAAAAAAAGTGATTTAAAAATTTTGAAATGACTGCAGTGAGAAAAAAACAAAAGAGGTTCTCAGCTGCAGGTTGGTGGTTACAAAAAAATATTGTACAAGTTTTAATAAATTTAATAAAAGTTGACAGTCTCACCTTGTTGTTGGCGGTCATCATCAGTCCAGTGTTGTGGGTCACATGAGTGGGCGGAACCTGAGGGTTCCAGCAAACCTCGTCGGTTCTGCTCAACAAATCGCACCTCTGCTCCGGCAGCTGCAGCCCCTCCTCGCTGCTGCGGTTGGTGACACGGCCGTCCAGGGACACGTAGCCGTTGTCCGTCTCTGTGGACTTGTCGATGGAAAGCTTGGACTTCTTGGATCTGAAGAATCGGAAGGAGGAATAAAAGGAGAAGATGGGGAGGAGCAGTGGGAGGAAAAAAGAAAAAGCCGAGAACAGAAAAATGGATAAAAAGACAAAGTTGTTCAGACTCTGGGCTGACGGTGACGTGGACAGAAACATGCAGTTCAAACCAAGATGCTTTCAACAGGACAGAGAACACTGTGGAACGTTGGTACCAGACAGAACCACAGAACATGATCTGGGACGGGTACGACTGTACGACAATCATCCCCACAAAAGTCAACCTTTACTTCCAATCTGAATGTTAACATCAAATACAGGGTGAACTGATGAGGACGACTGAGGAAGATCAACGGATGGAGGGAAATAAATGAACAGACATCGACAGACGATCGATGAACTATGAGTGAAGTGATTCTCTGAGGACAACCGTTCCACAGTGTTACCATCTGTTTAGAACTGATTAAAGTAAGAAGCACGGGGGGAAAGCAACAGCCTGACAGTCATTCAACTATTTAAAAACAAATGTTTGAATAATTTGAATTACTGCGATACTAGTGTTACTACTATTTTTTTTCCTGCAATCTGTTTTTTTTCCAATCCCTACGCAGTATTTTATTAGATTTACTGTAGTTGTACTGCCTCATCACTGTACTGCACCAGCTTACATTTGTTACAAATTAGTACTCAGGTGATTCATTTGTACACTGAATAAAAAGTGTACCATCTGTCAAACCTCAGACCTGACACTGCAAACTATCAGAAAATACAAAATGTCTTTACATTTAACCAGAAAAATAACAGAAACTACTTCAAACATTTTCATGTGTGTGATTTAACTCACAAAGATTTCACACATTGGTATCCGATATTTTTCAAATTATAGCTACAATGTTCACATGTACTGTAAAAAGATTTTACTATTTAAATGTATGGCAAAAACACATTCTTTACATGAAATATATTTGGCAAATTTACATTCTAAACATGTTCTAACATGTTAAAACATGTTCAATAATTTAAGTCTAGAACCAAACTGTTGTAATCTTGAATTGATCCAAATCATAACTTTAGCGTTACAATGAAGATGATAACACTGGAAAACATTTTGTATTTTACAGCTAACTATTTAACAAATATTAGGTTGTTTTTTTTTACATATATATTTTTGTAAAATTAATACTTAACCATTGATATATTTACATATTTTACAGCCTCACATCTTTGATAAACTAAAGTACAATTGATCTTTTCGTAATCGTTTTCGTACATTACAGTCAAGTTACATTATAGTTCTGAATGTGATGCTAACAGCTAAAAAAGCTTAAGACACACCGGAGACAGGGCTGGGATTTTATTTTGAAATTCATTCTTTGTGTGTTTGATATAGTTAAACAGTCTTTGATTAAGTGCAAAGTTCCCAATCGTTTGATCTGGTCTGAAAACTGAAGCCCAGCCCGGTCTCTGTGCATCATGTGGCTGAAGAGAGACAGAAAACCATAAATACACACCCAGCTTTACAGATATCATGCCAGAAATCTTGGAAGAGAGAGCCCAGGCTGTATGTGGTGCTGCAGGCTGAGTGGGAGTGGGGCGCCCCCTCCTGTGTGTTATCGGTAGTGCTAGACCCGTCGCCTTCCCTATGCACCTCCATCTGAGATGCCTTCCTCAACTTCCTTCAGTGTGGACAGAGTAGAAGGTGGAGACACACTTAGATCGGACGTGGACACTCGAGACACTGCAGCACCGCCCCCTGCTGGACACGGTGGCTATGACAGCTAAAGGAACATTCTACCAGGTCTTCTCATTTGCACTTCGTATTTGACAGAAACAATTGGCAGAAAACGCTGGCAAAAATATCTTTACATCAAGTAATTTCATATGGAAGGAATTCACGTCAAATTAAATGTAAAGACAAAATTGAATTTTGTAATTTTTGCTTTGTTTGACAATAAAATCCCTTTCAAACATAAAATTGTAACAATGTCATTGTCACTAAATCATGAAAATGAAATCATGTGATTTTCTGGAAGAATTAAATATAATGAAATAGTATCTTTGTTGGTTTTTTCAATTTGGGTTAGAAATTATTATTGAAGTTATTGAAGAGGAAGATGAATTGTGGGAAATATTATGGGGAACAAATTGAAGCTTCCTTTAAATGAAGAAACACTGATGTGAAACCAATGAATGAATGAATAAGACCCAAGCAGTCGAAAATTTCTAAGACGTCACTGTGAAACAGAGAAAAAAGCAGCATAGAAACACAGACAGGCTTCAAACCAACCAGAGGGAAAATACACACCAAATACACACAAACCAGCATCTACAGTATCAGTAGTAGTATCAGTATCAGCAGTCAAATGATGAAAAGAAAACCCCAAAGGTTTTCCCATCAGTATCAGCAGTCAAATGATGAAAAAAAAACCCAAAGGTTTTCCCCAAGGTTTTCCTCAAGGTTTTCAGTCACATTACTCATACTGTGCTGCTTTAAGAAGAGACAACAATAATGTCGGGTCACTGTCCTAACGTGGAATTTAAAGTCTTTAAATCTGACTGAGAACCTGAAGAAAAAACATGAATTAAGCATCAAAGTCGTTTTCTTTCACCTCAGACTTTTGATTTTGTTTCCTGACACTAATTTCACCTGATGTGGACTCACTGGTGTCCACACCGTTCTCTGTTCTACAGGACCCATCTGTTGGTTCTCCTTCCTGTCATTTTATTTAAATAACATTAATTTCCTCTTCCTCTCTTACCTCCGTCTCTTCCCTCCACTGCTGGAGGCCGGTTTGGGCGTCCTGGTGGAGACAATCTGACAGTGCACGGTGCCCAGCAGCAGCATGAGCCAGATGGCTCCAAACACCTCGGTGGCTGGTATCCCATGAGGCTGAGGGATGGTGCTGAATAAGACTGCTGCTGCCACTGAGAGACAAGGAGACCATGTGGTCAGATTTGATGAAACAAATGATGAAAACATTTTTTTAAATTTCTGTAGATTTACAAGATATTGTGTTCAATTATTTGGAAATAAATACAAAAAAGTTTTGATTGTTTTTGGTAATCCTAGACCAGATGTTATATTTATTTTACCACCAAAAGAACAAAACATTTTGAGCAGTCGAATGATCGCAATAGAGCAGAGTATGAGGTTTTAAATACTGCAGTAATGCATGGTCATAAAAAGTACAAAAGTAAGGTGTGGAAAATGTATTCCTATTTACTATATACTGATCTAACTACTGTATTTTCGTCTATAAGTAGCATTTTTTCTTTCTCTGACTGGGTTCGCAAATTATACTCAGATGAAACTTATATTATTAAAATATTTGATTTCACATGTCCGTTATTTTCACAATGACAGCCGCTAGAGGGCACTCTAGCTGGTTGGTGCGACTAATACTCCAGAGCGACTTACATACGTTTTTTTTTTCATTATGTGAGTTTCCTTACCTTGCAGTAAATAAAGAGCCAGCAGTAAAAGGAAAATGGCTCTGGATGTGACCTGGATCCACCATCGATAAAAGAAGGGGAAGAAGACCACTCTGACGATGCCTTTCCTGGTCAACGACGTCCACGGACTCTCGGGCTTGGCCTTGGCAAACGCCGAACCTGAGGAGATGAGAATAAACACAGGACAGATTAATAATCAATCCCTGATGAGACTCTTCTTCTTCTTCTTCCTCCTCCCGTCACAGTCTAACTGGAGGCTCATCTTCACAGCGGTGGCTTCACTTGTCACGTCTCCACCTCTTCTCCTCTTTCTCTGTCAATCATCCCTCACTTTCATCCGTCCTTCCTGGTGTTGAAACAACAATGAGGATGCGTTTGACTGATCTATGAATAATTGAAGACGCAGAAACAGACGAGGGCACCGATGAACACAGAGGAGGAGACGGATGGTGACAGGAAGTTGGCGCGGCGCCACCGCGGTCTCGGGTTCCAGTCTCTCACTGTGCCGTGATGCTGCAGATCAGACACGGTTCTCTGGTCTTCACTGTGTTTGTTCAGTGACTGGAACGGGTTCAGACATCCACACTGGAACCGATTCTTATTTCTATACATCATTACTGACCGTTAATCACTCCATGAATCAGTCAGTGGTGGAAATTTGTTTTTTCCACAGTCGCCTCCAAACCCATTCCATTTGGGAAAACCTTTTCACTCCACACCCCCCCCAAAAACACACACACACAGACACAGTGTACTGACAACAACAGTAATCTTACACGAAATATACCTACAATTATAGCTTTACCATAAATGTACACACACATGTTTACACACACACATTTATACGCACACACTCCTCACCTCTAACCAAGTCCACGTCGATAAGATCTGGTTTGACATGTCCCGTCTTCTTTGGCTTGTTCCTCAAGCCCTGAGGAGACAGGAAACCATGAGTCAGTGGTATAAAAAAAACAATGAATAATAAAAAAAAGTGTTTTCTTCCCAACACACACACATTCCATTATTACCACAGGGGGGGGCTGCTGAACACAATTAAATTCTTTAAAATCTTTAAACTGTAGCTCATCAAAGCCCAAAC